GTGGAGGGTTTAGGGTTTAGGAGTTTAGGAGATTCATGGTTCTATTCAGGGTGGTTCATCGTGCCCCCTAGGTTGGGGTAACGTCCGATCGTAAGGGCTTGGTGTTTACGGAGCCTTCGGCCTCCTTTTCTGGATCCTTGGCATCCAAGTCGGAGGGGCATGTTCTGGCAGCCGGCAAGCCCAGTTTCAAAAAGGGCTTGCGTAGCCCAACCCCTAAACCCCAAACCCTAAGCCCTAGACCCTAAACCCGAAACCCGAGACCCACACCTAATCCACAAACTTGGTGCAGCTTGTTATCGCCAGCCCGGGATTGACAGGACAAGGCTCTGCCCCGGCCCCACCGAGCCACACTTTGATGCAAACTCCAATACTCCGAAACCCTAAACCCCCAACCCCTAAATCCTAAACCCCTTAGCTCCTAAACCCCAAAGCCCTCAACCCTAAACCCTAAGCATTATGCATGCCGACTTCCCCTGTCCGGATGCAAACAGGCTTTCCCTGGTGCTGCAGATACCTCAACAATGGGTTTAGGGTTTAGGGCTTAGGGTGTAGGGTTTAGGGTTGCTGGGTCCCATAGGGGTCGGACAACTAGGACCGCTTAGGGCTTTAGGGCTTTATGGCTGAGGGTTTAGGGTAACCAGTAACTAGTTTGTAGTAGTATCCTCTTACAGTCACGACTGTACTTGTAATATGCCCCGAAGCACTAAACCCTAAACCCTAAACCCTAAACCCTAAAAGTATGCACAAGTTTCATCCGTCACATAGAACTTACGTAACCAGAGATCCAGTACTAAGGGAGCTTCGGCTTCCTGGGTTTAGGGTTTAGGGTTTAGGGTTTCTTGGGATACCCCTGCAATGTAGTTAAGGCTTATACTCAAGGGCTTGGGGTTTTCAGTCCCAGCAGTTTGTGGGTCGTTCAAGAAGACAACTCACGAGGAAACTAAACCCTCGGTCAACCCTTAAACCACACAGAAGAAGAATGACCAGAATCATCAATAATTTTTAAATCCATGCCCTAAGCCCTAAACTCTCAAACCTAAGCCCTAAACCTTAAACCCTAAATCCAAAACTCTAAACTCTAAGCCCCAAACCCTAAACCGATGCCCCGAATGAACGAGGCCGGTCGCCGGGCTCATCGGCACCACGACCTCAGTGGTGTCGGTGCCTCTCGCGATCCTCTCCGCCGGCCAGAAGGCCGTCTAGGGTTTAGCGTTTAGGGTTTAGGGTTTCGGGTTTAGGGTTTAGGGGTTTGGGTCTAGGGTTTAGGGTTTAGGGGTTTAGGGTTTAGGGTTTAGGGTTTAGGATCTAGGGTCTAGGGTTTAGGGTTTAGGCAGGGGTTTTGGGTCTAGGGGTGTCGGGTTTTAGCCCAGCTGCAAAAGGGTTTAGAGTTCAATGTGAAACCCTAAATAAACGTCTCCTTGAGTTTACGGCCCTGATTTCGCAGGCTTGTAGGCCTTTCCAGTTTAAAGGCTTAGTGCCCCCCTTGATGAAGAGGTTTTCACAACCCTAAACCCTAAACCCTCCGGGCAGCGGTTTGTTCCTCAGCCAGGAGACTTTTCAGGGTGTTCCTGGCTCCAGCTGGCTGAATGTCGGGCGCCCTAAACCCAGAGACTCCAATACCCCTTAATTAAGGAATATACCTTAAAGGGCTCCTTAAAGGGATCTATAAGGGCACTATAAAAATTAGGCCTGAATTAAGGAATATGCCTTAAATTATAATCGGATCCCTATTATAATTTAAGGTATATTCCTTAATTAAGGCGTATTGGAGTCTCTGGGAATTCTGAAACATAAGCCTCCGGAAAGCTTGTTCTGAACTAAACCCTAAACCGTCCTAATATCAAGAATCTGGGCTCCCTATTATCATGATACCATGAAGCAGCCCAAAACCCTATTCTGATTATTAAGGCCCCTACATTACATCCGAAGATGTGGGCCCAAAAAGATTTAGGGCTTAGGGTTTTAGGGTTTAGGGTTTAGGGCTTAGAGATTGAGAGTTGTGGGTCCGTGCCCCTGCTATTTGTGGTCTGCATAGTTGGTAAACTCGTCATCGTGTCATCCCTTTAAAGTGCGAGTCGTGATATAAGTATAACATACATATACACATACATACATATACTAAGTAAACCCTAAAGCCTGAACCCTAAAACCCTAAGCCCTAAACCCAATACCCTTCTCCTAACTCTTCAGGCCCTAGCCTCAGTGCCAAACCTAAGCTGCAGGCCCCGGAACATGACTCCATGCTAAACACCCGCAGCTCTCGACGCGCACCACATTCCAGAATCATCCCAAGAGATCTTCGCTGCAATCCTTTGCAGGTTCCAGGGTTTATGGTTGCTCCTGAGTTTGGAGTCTTCAGACAGCGGGCTGAAGCTTAGGCATGAAAACGGGCATAGACTTCAGTCCAATAGCACAAAGGGCTTAGGATTGTTTAGACTTTGGTTTCTGCCGAGGGTCAACATGTCGATCACTGTGGAAGTTCGGCTGCTCAGTGGCAAGACCGCTGCTGTGAAAGCAAGCCTAGATGAAGAGGTCGGAACTTTAAGACGTCGAGGAGAAACTGCACTTGCAGTGGGAAACGGGCGGCTGGTGAACTCCTCTGGAAGTGTTGTGGATGCATTTACCACGATCCAGGAAGCCGGGATTCAGACTGGTGACTCCATGACCTTGTACATATGCAGAGTTCAGATCCAAAGCTCTTTGGCAGCTTTTGCTGCCGTCCTCGGCGACGGATCCGTCGCCAACTGGGGCGTTGCTGACGTTGGGGGTGACAGTAGGGCCGTCCGGGAGAAGCTGAAAAATGCACTGCAGATCCGAGCCACTCGCTATGCTTTTGCTGCTCTCCTTGGAGATGGGTCTGTCGTAACCTGGGGTGGTGCTGGCCATGGTGGTGACAGTAGTGCTGCGCAGGATCAGTTCAAGAATGTGCAGCAGATCCAAGCCTCTGCACAAGCCTTCGCTGCGATTATCGGCGATGGATCCGTCGTTGCCTGGGGCGATGGTCGCTGTGGCGGTGACAGTCGTTCCGTTCAGCATCAACTAAGGCATGTGCAGCAGATCCAAGCCTCTGGCAGCGCTTTTGCTGCTATTCTGGGGGACGGATCCGTCGTGACATGGGGTGGTGCTGACTATGGTGGTGACAGTAGACCCGTGCAGGCTCAGCTGAAGAACGTGCAGCACATCCAAGCCACGGGGCATGCTTTCGCTGCCATTCTTGCCGACGGATCTGTCGTGACCTGGGGTGCTGATCAGTTTGGTGGTGACAGTAGTGCTGTGCAGCATCAGCTCAGGAATGTGCAGCAGGTCCAAGCCAACGACCACGCTTTTGCCGCCATTCTTGGCAATGGCTCCGTCGTGACATGGGGTGATGCTCACCATGGTGGCGACAGTAGCGCTGTCCAGGAGCAGCTGCACAATGTGCAGCAGATCCAAGCCTCTTACAGCGCCTTTGCTGCCATTCTCGGAGACGGATCTGTCGTGACTTGGGGTGCTTCTGAACATGGTGGCCGCAGTGACGCTGTTCAGCATCAGCTAAAGAATGTGCAGCAGATCCAGGCATGCCATCGTGCTTTTGCTGCCCTTGTTGCCGATGGATCCGTCGTGACCTGGGGTGATGCTCACTCTGGTGGTGACAATAGTGCCGTGCAGCATCAGCTGAAGAATGTGCAGCAGATCCAAGCATCTGTGTGTGCTTTTGCGGCCATTCTTGGTGATGGATCCGTCGTGACCTGGGGTGATGCTGAGCGTGGTGGTGACAGTAGTGCTGTGCAGGGTCAGCTGAAGAATGTGCAGCAGATCCAGGCCTCTTTCGCTTCCTTTGCTGCCATCCTTGGCAACGGATCTGTCGTCACGTGGGGTCATGCCGACTGTGGTGGTGACAGTAGTGCCGTGCAG